ATATTCTGCTATGAAGATTTCGTTTCGACCTTAGCATACGTTGAGTACTTTACTTAGTTAAATGCTAGCTGCTTACTTAATTTTGATGAGATTTGATTTAGCGTTTGGCTCTCGTCTGCTTCCCGTTCGGCTCCTTCGAGTTTAATTACAATTTGAGTACTTGAAATGCACACAGACACATGATTGGCCCGAGCGCCTTGGCCTGGCCTTAAAACTAGTTTAATAACTGATTTATTTATTACAATTACATTTAGAATTTAACAGTTAAATGCGCTTTGATTCATGACTCTCCCTTATCTATGTACAGTTGTTGGCGCCAGCTCTATTCTAGTATTTATATCTGTATAAAAATGTGAGTGTGAGTGTGTGTGTGTGTGTGTATGTGTGTGTTGGAGTATTTAATAATATTTACAATATTCAAGTTTTGATTTCAGTTACAAGATTGCAGTGTATTTATAGAGTGGCAAAGCCGGATTCATTTTTCTTTCTTTCTTTCTATTTGTGTTTGATTTTTGTCTTATACAAAAAGAAGGGCTTATCCCATGTGTATGATAGACAGACACACACACGTAAATGTAGACTTATAAAGATGCATGCGTGTGTACCTTTGACATTAATATATTTAAATTTAGGCTAAAAATTTACAGCTAGGTAAAATGAGATGGCCATCAATAATATTTTGGCTAATGTACGACGTCGCGACGTCTCGAGTCGCCGCTTGGAGCAATGGGCGTGGCTGTTTGTGGTATGCGCTGCGGTTAGATATTATTACATTTTACAATTACTTCAGCGTGGGATCCAGAGTCGTAAATTCCAATTCGCCGCGCGGCAATATCAGATCTGGGTCTGCAATATACACTTTGGTTGGTTGGCATAAAACAAAATCAACAGCAATGGTGAATGGGTGTGAGTGTGTGTGTGAGTGTGATGAAATTATAAATGAATAATGCGCAAGTGTTAGTGTGAGTGAGTGAGCGAGAGAGAGAGAGAGAGACAAATGGTTGCGAGTGAAAAGAAAAACAAAAGTACAAATTGTGTTTACCGATTAGTTTGGCTTGTTTCATTGTTTCTTGTATTAGCATTAAAATTATGATTACTATTATTATTATTGTTTGGTTTTATTTGCTGTTTGGCTGAAATTTACAGCACTTGCAAAATGACATCATATAACAGTTGCAAATTGTTTTGGCAGCAAATGAAAAATATATAAAAAGAAAAAAGATATCGTAACTATTAGCAAATATCAAAAGCGTGACCAACTGTGCGCTGATAAGAGCAACAACCAAGCAAGAAAAGCAAAACAAAAACAGCAACAACAACGACAACAACAGCAACAACAACAACGACAACAGCAGAAGCAGCAGGAGCAGCAGCAGTGGCATATAAATATTAATATTCCCCCAAAACACCGGCACTGAGACCAGCTGGCTCGTAAATATAAAATAATTCAACAATTTCTTAATTTTTATCGCACATTTATGTCCGATTTCATTTTATTGTGCTGCCCACGCCCATGCCACATGCACATTAAGTTAGTTTCAGTTCGAGTTTGAGTTCGAGTTTGGGTCAAGTGAAACTGAAGCGCCATCTAGCGTTTGGCTGGCGGCAACGTTGTTTACGATTTTGCAGTCTGTTATGTGAGGTTCAGCACTGTCACAGCGCCCTGTGTTATATTTTATTATTATCGCCTTTTATGTCACATTTGTGCGGCGTCTTTGAGTCATAAAGACGCACAAACTAAAGCAGCCTTCAAATGGCGTCACACTTTGTATGTGTGTGTGTGTGTGCTGGTGTGTTGGTGTGTGTGCGTGTCTGTGGCCTTTCACGTTTACTTTCACGCCATGCCTGGCAGCATTAAAAATGTCAAAAGTTGCAAAAATGTTGCCAGCTCTGGGTCTCAAAGGCAAATAGAGCAAGCGGAGCGGAAGTGCGGCGACAAATGAATGAGCGTTGACATTGAAGTGGCGGCACAGCGTAACCCTGTGTGGGTGTCAGTGCGTGTGTGTGTGCGTGTGCCAGCATAGGCCGCATCAACAATGTTGCCAAAGCAAATTGTGCGGCAGTTCGTGTGGCTGGCCCATAGACATCAAAGTTGATGCCCGAACGCCCAAGGCATCCAAAGCAGCCATCGCTGCTGCTTTACAGCATGCTTTAAGGCGCCTTTAAGCGAGCAGCGCCGCAACAAATGATGACTCTTAGTCGTCTGGAGCGAGCATCCATTTCGCTGGCTGCCACTGCGGGCCCAGTTTCAACATTGTCTAATTAGACGAGTGCCAGTGAAGTGTACAAGAACTCAAAAACAAGCCAAACCCAGCCACCCACACACACACACACATACACTCATACTCATACTCATGCCTCTCACTCCCGCACACATTTGTGTGTGTGCGGCAGCTGGCGCAGAAAGCAAAGGCTCAAGGACAGCTACACAAATGCTATACAGTTGGCGAAGCGACTCATGACAAACAAAACAAACGTCCACACAGCGACAGAAGCTACAACAACAACAACAGCAACAACAACAAGCATAAGACAAAAAGTCGAGCAAAATGAATGTTGTAGCATGAAACGAAACAAATGTGCACAAAAAAGAGAAAAAAAGAAAAACATACGCAAAAACAAACACTTAAGTATATGTATGTATATAAATATACATACTATATATACTATACCTCCCCCCCCACACACACACACACATACTAATACAACTGTGTATGTCAGCTGAAAAAGTCAAACGTATTTGCCTGCGCTCGAAGTTCGCTTGAAGAAAACACGCGCTTAACTCACACAAGCAGCCCCGCAGCAGCAGCAGAGGCAGCAGCAGCAGCAGCAGAGGCAGCAGCAGTACCTCAGCTGGCCCACCTTTCATTCAATTTGCGACATGGGCGCCACCTAGCGGGACCGTATGCAATTAAAAATGTTGGCTAATGACAACAGCAGCAGTCGCTGAATGCTGACAGCCATGGGGGCTGTGTGCGACACACACACACACACACACGCATACACATATAAGAGTAGCTCACTTCTTTCACTTGAATTAGTGCGCTCTAAGTGCTATCTTTGAGTCTGAGTCTCAGCTGTGCACTATGCGCCCTCGGAGTACATAAGTGCATGGAAGAAGTTTGGCAGAAGAACGAGCAGGGCTGACACGTAAAGGCAGGCCATAAGCTCGTATAACCAAAAACCTCTTGGAATTACAGGTAACAGGCAAAAGGGCAGCACTGGTAAAAAGATCACCGAGCAGTTACTATAAATAACTTTCAGTTTATGGACTATCAAAAA